CCTCCAACAATGCGACGGAACTGATTTTGTGCTATTTTATAAGGACGAGGAAAGGATTTGAAGGAGGAAAAATGAGAATGCATTTCCTTCTCTCCGGGTCACACAAACAAGTGCACGGGGGTCAAACTTTACATTCACCTCTGTTCAGAAAAAAATTTTTATATTGATTATTGTGCTATTCTCCCCTGTATGACACAAAAAAGGTTATAAATGGCTGGGCAAATCAAGGGCCCAATTAAGGAAATGACCCCTATTGCAAGGTGAGGGCCAAATTGAGAGAGGAGAAAATTTGGTAGTAATTAATTTCATGTCTCAGGGGTGGAAATAAAGATAGAGTGAGTCTTAATGCCAGAGATTACAGTTCACTTAAGCAGAACTCCAGCGACTAGAGACATCAAAAGCCTCTTTCAAATGAGAAGGCTCTCAGAAAAAGTTAGACTCTGTGGTATCGTCACAATTGGGAATACGGTTCTCTACAGTTTTCTGTATTTTGATTGCAGTGGAACTTGAAAAGTTTTGGAGGGAGTGCATTAGCATTACACAGGTGTATGCAGGCAATTAATGTAGCAATCAAATACACATTACGGCAAAAACCATGAAACTAAATATCATATGCGTCCATTAAGCGTAATGAGAGCGGTTTATTTAATGCTAGAAGCTTGATCAAATATATTCAAAATAAAAATACAGCCAAACAAGGAAATAGATATGATTAAAAAAAACAAGTGAGTGTTCACTACCATTTTTCTTCTATAATGTGATATTAAAATTAAATGGAAATAAAAATACATTTCTGTATAATAAAGATGAAGCCAAAGATTATATTCATGTTATGCACTGATGTTAATTATATTCTATAATATACTGTTAAAATAAATAAAAATGAATATAAACAAAACACTACTAATTATAAATAATGTTATTTATATATTATTATATTATTTTATATATTATATTTGGGCTTCACTATTAAAATGTATCATATGTAAAATTTAATTAATTTTGATACTTGCTATAGATTACATTTAACAACATTATTAAATTCTTAGCATTTTAAAGATTCACTTTAAGTGAATCAGAATGAGCTTTATTGCCAGGTATGTTTACACATACGAGGAATTTGTTTTCGTGACAGAAGCTTCCACAGTATAACAGAATGACAGTGACAGAACAAAAAA